GATAGATAGATAGATAGATAGATAGATAGATAGATAGATAGATAGATGTAGATGAATAGATATAATATATTCATAGACTTATCAAATGAAAGGGATATCTGAAAAAAAAGGAGCTGTTTGAAAAGTAGTTAAAAAGGGACTGAGAGAAGGGAGAAAGATGTCTGGTTGTTGTGTAGAACAAGAAGCTGACTGCTAAGGAACTGGGAAACTGAATGAGTAAGGGAGGGGTTGTGCTAAGCTAAAAGAGTGGAGAGAAGAGTGACGGTGTCATGTCATCCGATCTTGGGGCTTCCACTTCAGAATCTGGGGGCCTAGTCTGTCAACCAAGGCAATCTATATAGATTGCATTACCCAGGACAGGTGTCAGAAGATCATAGAATCTCATGGTTAGAAATGACCAAAGGTCATTTAGTCCAAATCCTTGCCTGGTGAATTAATCCTTGCCACAACATCCTTGAACTACCCAACTTCTACTAGGATATTTCCAATGATTAGTGTTCTAGAGACTTAAGGAGCGTCACCATGTGAAAGCTTATTAACTATTCAAACTTTCTCTCTTTTCATAAACCATCCTAATGAACCAAGCACCAATGAAGAATCCTTGCTTCACCACTCCTCAATACATACTTATTCATATTACCAATAACATTGTCCAGCCTCAAAGATAAGTAGCAAAGATAAGTATCAATGAAAACTATAAACTTTTCCAAGACAAGATTGTTAGTAAGTAATAACAAAAGAAAATTGCCATAAAAACATTCACATTTTTAACTTTTTTTCCCATTTCAGTTCAATTTCTTTATAGATATGAGGTCCCCTGGAAAGTCCATTTTGCAACAACTCGGATGACTGAAATCCTTATCCCATTATATATGACTTTCTCCACATTCCTCAACCATTGAATACTTCCTAAGGGTTTAAAGAGGTAGAGCTCTCTCTACATGTCACACCATATTTTTTTTGTCTTGGCAGCCTGAGATGAGTATAGTATAGTGTAGTATAGTGGACAGAGGGACTGGGTTTGGAATCAGAACAAACTGTGTTCAAATTCTGCCTCTTCCATGCTGGTTAGATGAGCCTGGATAAGTCATTTAATCTGTTACCAACCCAAGAAACTCTCTAAAAATAAATTGCAAAACAGTCACTAATCTGTGTTGGAAGAGGGATAAAATCACAGGTCCAACGTCACTTCTCTCCCTCTCCTCCCTAAAAAGTAGACAGGGCCTAGCACAATGCCTAGCACATATTAGGGACTTAATAAATCCTTGGTGAAGCAAATTCAATTCCAGAAAGATTATTTCCCTTTAATGTCAACATGCAGTTAACATTCATAAAAAAAATTTATTAAGTGCTTGTTATATGCAGAGCACTATCCTATATGGTAGGGGGAGGGGGAGGGGGAGGAATAAAAATTTTAAATAACACACAATCCCTACCCTCATGGAGCTTACAGACTAGAAGGAAGGTAAGACACAAATATAGATAACTCTAATTCTCTGTATTATATGATTCGAGTTGTATGAAACAAAGAGCTGTTTGAGCCAATTATTGAGAAGGGGATTGGTGTTAAAGCAATTAATACATTGTTCAAACTGGAAAAGACCTGTCAGAACATTTAGTCTACTTTGTCTGCCCACCCCTTTTTTCATGAATGAAGAAACTGAGGTCCTGAATAGGTAGGTGTGTGATAGTTCCAAAATCACACTGTTAGTGACAGAGAGCAAGTTAAATTCAGTTTATTCAAAAAGTTCTCAAAAGAGATGAAGGATACTAAGAGTTTATTTCCTGAGGGGCCCATGATTCATTAGTTCAATCGATAAGCAAGCATAGTAAACCCCTACTATGTATCAGGCACTATGCCACTATCTAACCACTTTTATGCCACAAAAACCTTCAAGGCCCTTATACCTGATCCCTTCTACCACCAATCTGTAGAACTGAGAGGCACTCACCTTTGGCGTTTCGACGATGGAAGGTCTGGGTATGGAAGTGTGGAACATAACTGAATTGCAGTCTGGCTCATCAGCTGGGAACACAGGCAGATCTTCAGGTATGGGAGCAGGTTGCACAACAGAATGGTTACCTGTACTGCCATTTTTCTCTGAGTAAGTACAGGAACTCAGTTTTTCCTCTGGGATTTCCTCCAGACCTCCTGGGTGACTTTCATGTCCCCTCGCTTTGGCCAAGGGCTGGACATAGATGGTGGAATGGGCATCAGCTGAACTGGATTGATCAAAGGGCACATTCTCCCTTGTGTTCCCAAAGCAGGTGAGGAGCGCTGAGCAAGGAAATGGATGCATTCTTGGAGCTGGGGATTTCAGTCCTCGGGTCAGCCTTGTTTTCCACGTTGACATTGAAACATTGCTAGGTTATAAAATCCGATGGAGAAAAAGAAAATATTGGGGGGAGTATGAGCAAGGTCAAGGCATTATGCTCAGAATTCCTACAAGACTTTTCTCATCCAGAGACAAGAACATTATGCACATCCCCAGAAAGAAACTTAAGATGTCAAAACAGAAGTCTCTGGTAACTGGCTGCTTATACTCTCTTGTCAGACCCTGTGGATAGGACGGTTATCATGAATACCTCTAATTCTACCGGGCATTTCCATGCTGTTTGCTGCTGTTGTCAGCGGGTAAAGAAAATTCTCTGTGAGGCAGGCTGTTTTCTTGGGTTACAGTGTCTGAGCCGGACAGAGACACCAGTGTTAGGTGGTGCTGAGTCAATAGCCATGCTGCCTCAGGTTACCTTGGAGGCCTAATGATAATGTAGCCTGATAACATCTGCCATAATAGCACAATGTGTGTGTATCAGTAGCATCATAACAACAGCATGGTCCTCTCATGTTACGCCCCCTTCAAATATTTATTTGCCCAAACAAAACAAAACAAAACAAAAAACAGAAGTTGTTTTCTATCCTAATGAAGATTCTCTGAATGGACACTCACAGCTTGGCAGTTCTTAAAGCAGGAGGTTGAATTTTAAGCCTTTGAAAGTTGAGAGCTACAATTAGGCCTGGTGTCTTAGCTGCTTTTCCAGCTATTTCAGGCTTCTTGGTCAGCTTGTGAGCAGGCTTACACAAATTTCCCAATGTGGAATTCCATTTCATGTATGCCTTGGTCACCTGGAAATAGCTCTGGCTAGGTCCCAGCACTTTTTGAGGAACTTGTTTAATTTTTTAAAATTCTATTAATATCTATTGTTTTTAATATCATCTTCATTTCCAAATATATCTTCTTCCGTGCCCCCTTCCATTTCCTCTTTTCTCCTGTCTCTTTCCCTCCCAAGACATCAATCCCTTGTAACAAAGAATTTAAAAAGTGAGATTAAAAAAAAAGCAGTTTAGCAAAATTCTGCAGCTCTGGAGTTTAACAGTATATATCATGTTTTACTCAAATAGTCTTCCATTTCTGCAAAGAGGGGAGAGAGGTGAATTTTTTTCTCTCTTCTTTGATCTAACTTTGACCATTATAATTGCTTGGCATTCAATTTTGATTATTTTTAAATTTATGTTGCTATAGTTATTGTATGTCTAGTTTTCCTGGTTCTAATCACTTCACTTTGCATCATTTCATATAAGTCTTTCCATGCCTTTCTATATTCTTCATCATTTCCTGTGAGTTAAAAACAATCCATTACATTCCTGCACCACAGTATATTTAGCCATTCCCTAATCAATGAATTTCGACTTTATTTCCAGTTCTTTACCACTACAAAAAAAATGCTGCTATAAAATGTTAAAGTATTTAAGACTTTTCTTTCTATCTTTGACATCCTTTGGATATATGCCTAGCAGCAAGATATCTGAATCAAAGGGTAAAAACAGTTCAGTAATTTCTAAGCATAATCCTATATTGCTTTCCAGAATGGTTGGACAAATTCATAGTTCACCAATACTGGATTACTATGACTATTTTTCCCAGCTCCCTTAAACATTGACTATTCCAATCTTTCATCATTTGTTCTGTTTGTCAGTTTTCGTGGTGTAAATGCTCACATCAAAACTTTAGCAGTTGGATCTCTCAAGCTAGTTTGAGATGGCTCTAGCCATCTCTGCTCTGAGCCCATAGAGTCAAAATACCACATTCTCAGAGACTTACAGTCCTTACAATTTGTAGTATTATGCTGGGGCTGGGGAGGTAGCAAGGATAAAAGTTGGTACTCATTGTTCCCACCACTGGAGCACTGAGTATCTCTTACTTGTTCAGAATTTTTGCTGTTTTACACCCAGATCCCACAGTCCTACCTGCTCTATCAGGGTCTCTACAGGTCTCTGTGGGAACTTATTTCTGAGATTGCTCAAGGTTTCTGTTTTCCATTCCCACTTGGCTCCATTCCCAATATGCATGAGAAACTATATTGTCATTTATCTCTCCACTTCCCCAATTCCCAGCTCTTCCAACTGAGCTTGGGGTTGGAGGGATATTTCTACTTTTCCTTCATAGGCTTTTCTTTTTTAAAAAAAAATTATACTTTATTTATTTTAACATTCATTTTTAAAAATTGTGAGTTCCAAATTCTCTACCTCTCACCAGCTGCTCCCCCAACCAATTAAGATGGAAAATAACATGCTATAAATTATACATGTGAAGTCATGCAAAAATATTTCCATATTAGCCATGTTGGCATACACAAACAAATAAACAAGGAAAAAAATAAAGCAAGTGAAAAATATATGTTTTATTCTGCAGTTGGAGTCCATCAGTTTTCTCTCTAGAAGTGGATAGCATTTTTCATCATGAGTCTTTTGGGATTGTCTCATTGTGTTGATTACAGTAGCTAAGTCTTTCATAGTTGATCATATTGTTATTACTGTGTACAATGTTCTCCTGGTTCTGCTCACTTCACTTTGCATCAGTTCATATAAATCTTCCCAGATTTTTCTGAAGCCTTCCCTCTAGTCATTTCTTATATCACAGTGGTATTCCATCACAGCGCTATACCACAACTGCTCCAGCCATTCTCTAATTGACAGGCATCCCCTTTCCTCTATTTCCAGTTCTTTGCCAACACAAAAAGAGCTTTTATAAATATTTTGTACGTATGAATCCTTTTCCTTTTTCTTTGATTTTTTTGGGATCCAGACCTAGTAGTGATATCTCTGGATCAAAGGGGATGCAGAGTCTTCTAGCCCTTTGGGCATTGTCCCAAATTGCTTTCCAGAATGGTTGGACCAGTTGATAACTCTACCAACAGTGCATTAGTGTACCTATTTTTCCATATCCCCTTTGTAATTTTGCTGTTCTGTCATGTTAGCCAATCTGATAGGTGTTTTAATTTGCATCTTCCTAATCAATGTGATTTGGAGCTTTTTTTTTTTAACATCACTGTTGATAGCTTTAATTTCTTCTTCTAAAAACTACCTGCTCATACGTCTTGACCGAAAGGGGAATGGTTCTTATTTTTGCTAATTTGGGTCAGTTCCCTATATATATGAGAAATGAAACCTTTATCAGACAAACTTGCTGTAAATTTTTTCCCAGTTTCCTGTTTTCCTTCTTATTTTGGATGCATTGGATTTGTTTTCGCAAAATTTTTTAAATTTCATGTAATCAAAATTATTCATTTTCCTACCTGTGATCCTTTCTAGCTCTTATTTGGTTATAAACTCTTTCCTTATCCACAGATCTGACAGGTAAAAATTTCCATGCTCTCCTAAATTGTTTAGTGTATCACCATTTGCACCCATGTTAACCTTATCTTAGTATATGGTGTGAGATGTTGGTCTTTGCCTAGGTTCTGCTAAACAGCTTTCCAGTTTTCCCAGCATTTTTTGTCAATAGTAAGTTCTTGCCCCAAAAAGCTTGGATCCTTGAGTTTACCAAACACTAGATTACTATGGTCGTTTACTATTCTATATTGTGTGCATAATCTAGTTAACTGATCCACCACTCTATTTCTTAGCCAATACCAGACTGTTTTGGTGATTGCCACTTTGTAACATAGTTTGAAATCTGAACCTTCTAGGCTACCTTCCTTCTCATTTTTTTTTACATTAATTCTCTTGATATTCTCTACCTTTTGTTTTTCCAGATGAATTTTGTTATTTTTTCTAACTCTGTAATTCTTTGGTAGTTTGATTGGTATGGCACTGAATAAGTAAATTAATTTAGATAGAATTGTCATTTTATTATATTGGCGGAGCAGTTATTGGCTGAGCAATTAATACTTACCTGCTTGTTTAGATCTGTCTTTATCTGTGTGAAAAGTATTTTGTGATTGTGTTCATATAGTTCCTGGATTTGTCCTGGCAGGTAGACTCCCAAGTATTTTATATTATCTGCAGTTATTTTTTTGTTTTTTATTTTAATCTTATTTATTTATTTTTTGTTACCTTTTAAGTTCCAAATTGTCTCCCTGTCTCCCTCCCCACCTGCACTAAAAAAGAATGCTATTTAACACAGATTTATAAGTATATGTATCTATCTATATCTATATATATATATATATATATAAAAACTATACTATGTATACTTCTTTCTCTGGAGATGGATAGCATCTTCCTTGACAGGTCCTTTATAGTTCATTTGAGTATATAACATATAATATTCAGAATTATATATAATTATATAATTCAGAATTATATATAATTATATAATTATAATACTCAGAATAACTTGGTTGTTCATAATTATTCTTTGAACAACATTGCTGTTACTGTGTACAATATTCTCTTGGTTCTGCTCACTTCACTTCTCATTGTTTCATGCAAGTCTTTCCATGTTTTTCTTTTTTTGTTTTGTTTTATTTTGGCTTTTTGGTGAGGTTAAGTGACTTGCCCAGGGTCACACAGCTAGTAAGTGTCAAGTGTCTGAGGCTGGATTTGAACTCAGGTCCTCCTGACTCTGAGGCCAGAGCTCTATCCGCTGAGCCACCTAGCTGCCCCCATGTTTTTCAAAATCAATCAGCTCATCTTCTTACAGTATAGTAGTATTCTACCACAATCATATATCATGACTTGTTTAACCATTCCCCAACTGAGGGGCATCCCCTCAATTTCTAGTTCTTTGCCACCACAAAGAGAGTTGCTATAAATATTTTAGAACATGTAAGTTCTTTTTTTCCTTAATCACCTTGGAAAACAGACCTAGTAATTTTTTTTTGGATCAAAGGGCATATACACAGTTTTATAACACTTTGGGCATAATTCCAAATTGCTCTCCAAAATGGTTGGATCAGTTCACGGTTCTACCAACAGTGTATTAATGTCCCAATTATCCCATATCCCCTTCAACATTTGTCATTTTCCCCTTCTCTCATCTTAGCCAAACTGATGGGTGTGAGATGATATCACAAAGTTGTTTTAATTTGCATTTCTCTAATCAATAGTGGTTTAGAGCATTTTTTCATATGA